CCAATTGGGAAATTACCAATTGGAAACCATTTCGATACCAATTGGGATCAAATGGGACACACCATTTGGGATGAAATGGTTTTATTCCATTTGGAACCAATTGGGATGAAATGGAAAACACCAATTGGAATCAAATGGGATTTATTTTCCAATAGGAAACCATTTCAAAACCAATAGGGATCAAATGGAAAACACCATTTCGGAGCAATTGGGAAATTACCAATTGGAAACCATTTCGATACCAATTGGGGACATCCATTTGGGATGAAATGGTTTTATTCCATTTGGAGACCAATTGGACACCAAGTGGGATCAAATGGGAAAAACCATTAGAGATCAAATGGGAATTTCTTCCATATGGAAACCATTTAGATACCAATTGGGACCAAATGGGACACACCATTTGGGATGAAATGGTTTTATTCCATTTGGAACCAATTGGAATCAAATGGAAAACACCATTTGAAATCAAATGGGATTTATTTTCCATTAGAAAACCATTTCAAAACCAATTGGGACCAAATGGAAAACACCATTTCAGACCAATTGGGAAAAAACCAATTGGAAACCATTTCAAATGGTCATGAAAACCATTAGAACCTATTTCAAACCATTTGACACATTTGAAACCAATTGGTAAATCCTAATGGTTTCAAATGGTATTTTTTACTGGGTACTTATGTTTATACGTAACTTAGTTGATACCAACGATTATTTTATACTTTTAAGTGTACTTAATTTTTCATTGTATTTTTCTTTTAATTTGATTATCAAAACCTCGGTTTATCATTATTTGTGTTGCACCCGATGTTTTTTTTCTTGTCATGAATGACGTGTGAATGAGCTAGAGTGTGTGAGGGAGAGGTGCCATGAAATAAGCTGAATAGCTTTTGCACCGATCCCAGATTGCCTTATGTCTATTTATGCGAAAATATTCAATAAAATCGAGCAAACAAAACAAACAACAAACAAACCGGCCTGTCAGGAGCACCATCGGCCTAGCAAGAGCGCCACCGGTCTGCCAGGGGCACCACAGACCTGTCAGGGGCACCACAGGTCTTCCAGGGGCACCAAAGGCCTTCTAGGGGCACCACCGGCCTCGCAGGGGCACCTTGGGCCTGTCAAGGGCACCACGGGCCTGTCGGGGGCACCTCTGGCTTGTCAGAGCCAAGGGGCACCACAGTCCTTTCAGGAGCACCACAGGCCTGTCAGGAGCACCACAGACCTGTCAGGGGCACCAGAAGCCTAGCAGGGGCACCACAGACCTGCCAGGGGCACCACAGGCTTGCCAGGGGCACCCACTGGCCTCGCAGGGGCACCCTGGGATTGTCAGGGGCATCACGTGCCTGTCGGGGACACTTCAGGCTTGTCAGGAGCACCACAGTCCTGTCAGGGCCCAGGGACACCAGCGGCCTAGCAGGGGCACCACGGCCTCGCCGGGGCACCACCGGCCTCGCAGAGGCACCATGGGCCTGTCGTTGGCACTTCAGGCTCGTAAGAAGCACCACAGTCCTTCCAGGGGCACCACAAACCTGCCAGGGCCCCTGCGGCCTAGCAGGGGCACCACAGGCCCGCCAGGGGTCACCACAGGCCTGCCAGGGCAAAAAAAATGAAAATAGGGCACCACCAAAATTAAGTGGCCGAAATCCGTTGAGGTTTTAATTTTGGGTATAGGTAGGGGCACTAACCTATACCCAAAAGGGTCATGTTACTTCGATTCATGACCCTCCCCTAGGAGTCTTCCTGGGCCCAATCTCACCAAGTGCGGTAAACTCGTTTGGGGTAGCGGTAAGTTACCGCACCGAAATAACCCCAAGCAAATAATCCAGTCTCACCAACCCAAACGACCCCATGCTGTAATTTACCGCATTTTGTGCAAATCCTGCAAAAGAACCCCATTTGTCGACGCTTCGGATTGGTGGAAAAGCTGCTGATCACGCCGGCGCGATATAAAGAACGCAATTGTTTTGTCGCCATGGCAACGATAGCGTGTTTCTTCTTTCCAAGCGGCACCTCAGTTTCCAAGACTCGCGGGCGACATCTACATGCTGTTTTGGGTACTGCAAATAGGAAGCATAGGTGGCGCAGGCTGCAACAAAAATAATCTTAAAAAGAAACTTATTTCTTTTCTTTCTTATAAAGTTCTTATTACATCTTTAATTGTTGATTCTTGCTCACAATTGGTATAAAATTTAGAGATTACGGCACAAATGTCTGCGGTAATTTTGGTCCGACATTTGGGGGCAATCAGCTGATTGTTTGGTTTGTTTACTTGCTTTCGGGCCGTGAGCAGCTGCGCACCTGAAGAATTTGCGGTAAAACCGAAGCTATCCCATGGGGTTATCTCGATGCGGTAACTTCAAAAATTACGGCAGTGCACTGCCGTGAGATTCGTTTTGGGGTAGTTTACCGCAAAATGAGTTTACCGCACTTGGTGAGATTGGGCCCTGGATCCGCTCCTGGCGCCAACGCGGCTGCGGAGGCCAGGGGGACGCGTATTCATGAGATTTAATATCTGGACGGAGTCTCCCTGAGATTTTGGTCGATTTATTTTTCTTGTCACCTTTTTACCGATTTGAGCATGCTTGCGAGAATAAAGTGGCCGAAATCCGAGGAGAAAATGGATTTTGGGGGTAGGTGAGGTGTTGTGCCTCTGGGAGCCTGCCCCCTCCCCCCCACTTTCGAAAACGTTCCTACACCTATGGAGCTCGCACACGGTCAGCGTCCACCGGCCCACCGGAAGCCAGCTCCTAAAACGCTAGAGCTAAAACGCTTAAGCCACCCATCGTTAACCCTTGCCCGCACATGGGGGGGGGGGTTGCCAGTTGCCACCCCCCTCCCCCAGGTAGGTTTTCTGCTCTGCATTCAACATTTTTAGAGCTAGAAGGCTGATTTTTCGTATAGTTGTTCCTCTATCCTTTCTTTATGTCCACTAAAAATTTCAAGTTTCTGTGGTTTTTGGTTTCGGAGATATGACATTGTTCTTCAGGTCATGCCATGACCCAAATGACAAATAGCCAACATCTTGCGTTGGCTACGGCTTTGACACCTTGATTTCGGCCTTTTTTGCCAGTCTTACCTCCCAACTATCATGGAACATGTTGTTTGACGATGTACAGATGTCAAGGTCAGGGTCGAGGTGAACCTAGGTCATCTAAAAACATTGCGCTTTAGGCAAGCTGAATTTCCTTTTTGTGAAATTTCTTCGACTGTATTTTTGGTAAAAGCTTCTCATTTCATGATCTGATGTAATATGGACACATAAACAATCGGTGTACACATCAGTATACACACAGACACACACAGACATACAATACAAACACATATCATTGACCTTGACCTAACTTGACCTGAAATGACCTCAGCAGCAAAAACCTGGTCGGATAGTGTGACAAAGAGGTTCTAGCTTACTTGGCACCACAAAATGGCATTGTCATCGGTATATGGTGAGCAGCGCACTTGATATCCAACGGTGACCCAAAACAGCAACATTTTTTAGTTTGACCTGATCTGGAGGGTCAATGACTGGCCTGAGAAGGTAAAACTGGGTATCATTGGATTTGTCTCTTCCCAAAGAATCTTTTTGGTCTTTACCGCGAAGCTCTATTTCCAACAGGAACGAAATGGCGCGGGGGGTGGGGGTGGCAACCACTCCCCCCCATGTGCGTTCTAAGATGGAAGAATGGCATGTGCGGGCGAGGCATAAAGCTGTGGAGGGCTAAAACGATGGGTGGCCACTTTGCCCCGAGTGCCCGCTTTGCCCCACTCTCCCCTACAAAGTCCATGATATAAAAAATCTTATTGTGATTATAAAAACCGACTTACAAAACAAGACAATTCCGTGGATCATGCCTACCTAACTTGGTCTTACCCCTTAATTCAATATACCCTGAATCAGACATGTGCATGGATCCGAGAAAATGGATCTGGGATCTGATCCCACGGAACCTGGTCTCGGATTCGACGGGATCATAGATCTAGCTCTGTGATTTATCGAGAGATCCGTAGGAATCACAGATCCGAGTCTCATTTTGCTTGAGATCCAGTGGGCAGTGAGATCATAGATCCTCAATTATTTTTTGTCAACACATATATCCCAAAAAAGCACTTGCAACTCACAAGCGTTCTGTTTTAGTGATTTTATGTAATCGCACGTCATAATCCATAGTTTTGTGTCACTTATTGGCATAAAAACCCTTTACAGCATGGTTTCAAATGTGGTATGTACATGATGGGTACCACTCAGATCATAGATCCATGTTTTTAATTTATCGTCAGATCATATGAGATCATAGATCCAAGATGTATTTTTCACGCCGGATCCGGTGGGATCATAGATCCCAATCTGTACTTTGCTTCGAGATCCACTGAGATCATAGATCCATCACTCGGATCCATGGACATGTCTGCCCTGAATCTACCTACCTGATTGGACTACCTGATACTAGTCTCAGTGACGCTACTACAGCACGCGCTACCGTCTGGACGACCTCAGCAAGGCGCCCGTCCGTTCAGCCCTCTGTGCTGCCCCGTCCAACCGCGTGCTACCGCTCCAACCGTGCTGCCTTCCGTCACAGTGGTGGAGTGCTGGTGTGGCGCCGGGTAGAGCCGGAGAGGGGCCTTCAGCCGCTGCCCTGCCAGACGGTGATCCCGCCACCACAAGGCCAAGCTAGCAAAGGTAAGGAGTTGGGGATAGAAGCGGAGGTTTGATTATCGCTGTGGAAGTCACAAGTGCCATTTTCTTCCGTAATGTTGTATCGAGACCTATTCTGATCTGGAGCCATTTGTCATGCTCGGCCGTATATATTCACCTGGGTGTACTGTTTTACAGTCATTGATCAATCGCATTCCTGATGTCAGATGTTCCCTCTACTCTGTCCTGCCTGTCTGATCGCTATATCAGCGCTGTAACCCGACCGAGGCGCCCTCTGGTCACAGCTGACCTGTTCATTCCGCCGCTAGATGGCAGCACCATCAAGCACATGGTGGGCCCCGGCTGACAGCTCGGTCCAGCGACGCTGCAGGAATCCTCCAGTGTAGACCGGTGTCACGACACTCCGCCCAGCGCCGCGGAGTCGGTGGATTCTCCGTGACTCCGACTCCGACTCTGGACAGCCTCCTTAGCCCTCGCCGTCCAAGGTACGGGGTTCGTGCCACCTCTTGAAACCGTTTTCCGATTGCTCGGAATGCGCGTGTGCTGGATAGCTGAAAGTTAGCCTACCTGACCTGTGATTCCAGTCAGATGTGTGGTCATTTGTCAGGCTGTCTGACGTCATTGACGTCTGATTCTTCATCAGAAAACCACTAAAATAATGTAGGGAGCTCACGATTATTCACTATTTGCGTTATATTTATCGTTGATATGAATCACTATACGTGTGGTTGGCCGCCTGCCCTCATTTAAATTCAACCTGGAAGCATGTTAAAGCATGCTTCCAGGCACCTTTATCTCATGCGGGCTGCTTGCTCCCTTGGAGCGACACTGCTGCCCCCGAGGGAGCGCACCTGTGGCCGGGTGCAGCGAGTACTGGGGGGGGGGGGGGGGCTGATCGGCCTTACCTTGGGGATAGGCTCAGTCCCGGTGACTCTCTAGGGTTCCTGCCCAGACCAATGTCTCCCCTTATTCCTATCATCCTTCTGGCTCTGAAATGGCCTTGTCAGACCGGAAGGGGCTAACCCAACGAAACAAAAACAAATGTGGCCATTTAACTGTGATTTGCCCGTAATTGAATCAGTAAAATTCATGCTTAAAATCTTCCTTTGTATTCAGCTAAGTCATCGTTCAGTGGCTCATCGACCAGTTATCTTGACATCCTCAGCCAATCGGTTACTGTGAAAGTAACATGCAATTACCAAATCTGATATATGCACGGACATGTTTGGGTGGGGGAAAGCATCCATCAGATCCAATGCCTGACCTTCACAAAACACATAGAAAGTAAGTTTCTACATGACTGATAATTTTGAATATGGAATTGTTGTACTGGGACATGGTAAATATTCAGAAACGAATTATTCGACACCAGTAATATGTATATGATCGGTAGCTTTCGGGGGCTGCTGCCTCCTTCATCAGCCTGCTTTTTAAATGCATTAGAACACAAGACAATACGTTTCAAACATGTCTACCAAAAAGTAAACCGCCACGAGGAAAAGTTGTAACGGTACGTCTCAAGCATAGATGCACAACAGTTTGATACATGATAACAAATAATTGACCTTCCATCCTATCTTCCTCACGGTCGCCTCATCTCCTACGCCGACGACACCCAATTACTTGACTCGGCCCGTCCTAAAGATCTATCCATCCTTAAATCCCGACAGGAGGATACCCTCCGTGCTGTCCTCTCCTACTTCACATCCAACTCGCACCCGCACCCCGAATTGCCGGAGTCGGCGAGAGATGGCGCTCACAACTCGCTCCACCCCGCCCCACCCCATCCCGCGAGCGACCTGCCGGAACGCTGGACGGTCGCCGGGCGCGCTCACCCACGCTCTGCATCCCGCGAGCCCTCCCCTCACCCTCTACCCGAGGCCGGTCTGACGAGGGCGTTGCCGACTCTCCACTCTCTCTGAGCTCCGGCCGAGCTCCACCACCTCCGCCTGGGAGGTCAGCCACGGAAATCGAGCCAGGTTGACAGTCCATAGGCGGCACCAGCTCAGAGACTCGGTCAGCCAGTACAGGCCGCGAACATAGGACAGCCGTCCCCGCCGCAGTAGACGTCTCACTCGGCCCGCCGTTGTCCAGCTCCCCGGCGCCGCCACGCTGCTGGGGCCCCTGAGGGCCCGGTCGCGAGCTTTGAGGCAAGGGCGTACTCAGGTGAGCGGGTCGGTTGGTATTCTCAGCCGGCGCCGGTCCACCACCGGCCCGCGCCGCCCCGCTCCCACCAGCACCCGGCACCGCCCGGTCAGCGGCCGTCTGGCAGTCTCCGGTCGCATGGGCGGCGCCAGGCACCACCGACGGGGGGAGCGGGGGGAGCATCAGCATCCTGTCCCGAGAGAAGCCTGCTGAGACGATCCAATTCTTCTTGGCTTCTAACTCGACTGAGTCTCTCACCTCTGCTGACGACATACAAAATCTCACCGCCTCGAGATTGTACAGAGGCTATAAGACCTTGTTTTCGTTTTTGCAGCAGCTGATTGAACAGCTCCTGTCTCAGTGGCGTGAACAACTCATTTATGTATATTCTTTGACCTCTTAATCTATTTTTTGACCGAAAGATGAGGTCCCTGAGCGATCCCTTCTCAGCATTGGTGAATTTCACCAGGACCAGGCATCGGTAGGATTGTGATTGCAGGATTGCAAAATCCTGATTGCATTCCTTTTTGGTGGATTGCACCTGGATTTGTAATCCATTCCAAAAAACAGGATTTGATTGCGGATTGGATTGCATCATACTTCCAATTTTTGCAATCCAATCCGGATTGTGTTTGATTAGTGCTTTGAAATGGCTTGTTGCGATTGAAAATTATGAGATCGGCTTCATCGGCTTTGTACTTTGCTATCAAGGGCTTTACATCGAAACTCGAAATAATTTAAACGCTTTTAATTTAACCCGCGCCGGGGCGGTGCTCTGAGATTCCGCGCCGGGCCAGGGGGTGTCTGAACACCCCCCTTCTAACTCGGCTCCTGGGCCACGTAGCGACATGCGGTAAGCGGCAATCGAAAGAACGTCCAAAATAAGGACGAAAACACCTCGGTCATTTTTTGGGTCAGGTCAAAGGTCAGGTCACCAGAGGTCACCAAAGGTAAAATGTTGACTAATTCAACAATTTGGAAACTGCCAACGGCTATCTCGGGAACCAATAGAGCTAGAGCGCCGCGGAAAAGCGCATTCGATAGCCCTTTTACAGACCTTTCTGAATAATGTTCTATGATTTGACCTCAGGTCAACGGTTTAGCCTCCAGAGGGCAAAAACTCCAACAATAGCCGTTTTTACGTAAATCGGTTTTTCGGCGATAACTTTTGACTCAAAAGAGCCATGACATTACTTTTGCCAGCATCGTGTTCCTCTCGTCGAGACGCGTCAAATGAACTATAAGTTGACCTTGAAAGGTCAACTTGAAAATTTGACCTCAGGTGATAGTCATGACCTGACCGGAAAAGTTCATGTTGCTTATCAGTCGATCCGCAACGTCGAGCCGAACACATCTAAGGCGTTTTCAGCGCTCTAGCACGCCTCTATCAGAAGTTATTAGCGAAAAACTGTTAGATTCTGTTCGTGACCTGAGATGACCTCGGGGACATAACGGGGGGTCACAGTTGCCATTTTCCGGTTCAGTGTGTCAATTCTATCTACATCTCGATGTTTGAGAGTGTCTAGAATAGCGTTCGTGCAAAACAGGCGCTTTTCAATTTTCTCCCATTGACTTATAATGGAGAGGCCGCAAAATTGACCTGACCTTAGGTCACCGATATCAAAATTTCGAGATAAACATTTTATAGATAATGTTGCTTTAACCCTCGCCCGTATTGGTGTTTTTCCAGCCGCGAACGTATAAGGGGGGGGGGGGTCCGTTGGACCCCCCCTTGCCGTTTCGCCCCTGATCGAGCTAGAGCTTTGCGGAAAAAACGAGCGTGTTGCCCGTGACGAGAGGAAGCCGATGATACCTAATTTTAAGGTCCTAGGTCATTGGTTGACCTTGCAGGTCAGGTCAATGACCCAAAAGTCGGAAAATCGGGGCCTGTTAGAACAGGGGTCGGCAAATGGTGGGGCATGCCCCCTTTGGGGGTAATGGAGCCCTTTTGGTGGGGGTAATGAGGGATTATGAGAAAACCTATCTTTTTAGAGTTTGTGGCTCCATTGATGAAACCATCGTGACTGTTGCATCCCAAGATTAGCCCAGGTCAAAGGCAAAGCACACATTGATTAGATACCAATTTTCACGTAGCTGCGCGCCTCACCATCTCACCGCGGCTCCGTACAGTCGTACAAAAGCACCTGCAATTTTTAACCGTCGCCCGTCTGTTGGCGTTTCCTCAGCCGCTAACGTAAGGGGGAGGAGTCGATCGGACCCCCGCGGCCTCTCGGACTCGGAGCTGTGCATAAAAAACGAGCGTATTACTCGGGACTATAGGAAGCCGCTGCTGCCCATCTTTAAGGTCCTTGGTCATTTCGTCTCATTCAGGAGGTCAAATGTCGAGAAAATCGGGACCCGCTATAACTTCTGGAAGTGAGATTTTATGGCTCAAGATGATCTCCAGAAAAAGCTCATAAGCCAATGATCATTATGGGTCCAGAGGCCAGTTTTACCGACAGAAAAATACCCGCCTGCCGGTATTTTTCGCCTAAAGACCGCTTCACATACGGAGCGTAAACGGTAAAGCCCTATTCACTTATATGCTCATCGCGCTTACGCGTTACGCTCATTACGTATGTGAAGCGGTTTTTAAGCAAAAACTCCGGCAGGCGGCTATTTTTCTGTTGGTAAAACTGGCCCTCAGGTTTTCCCGGGCAGGTAAAGAAAAAAAATGATTGGCTCGAGGCTTATCTTGGCTCGAGGGTACAATTTGGTCGTGATCCAACGGCTTTTACGTGAGCTTTTAACGAAAAACCACCCGCCGCCCCTATATTTACAGCCCTCTGCAGACTGCGTGGTAGGTATTCTTTTTTCGACAAAACCGACAATAACTCAAAGGTTATGTTATCAGTCGGTCGGAACTCACTGCAAATAGATGCGCCATGCTCCACTCCTTCGATTAGGTTTATCAATAAACAAAGTTTACGCCTTGTGTGGCGACAAAATGCAAAAGTTTGTTTTGGGGGCAAATATAAACTTTTGGGTTTAATTGCCGAACTAGATGAAAAATGGATACGGTGATGATGCCAATCTAAGGGGCGGGGTCTAGCGCGTCTTGCTGTTACGATTTCCGAATGACCGATAGCATAGTATTCGCGTTATTCTAATTTTTGTCGAAAAAAAAATACCTACCACGCAGTTTGCAGAGGGCTGTACGAGGGTTAAATGGGATATATTAAATGCTTTGTGGAGGAAGTGTCATGTTTTAAATTTGATGCATCGGAAATGCAGAAATACCCAAAGAGTTCCAGAAAGGTATGGAATTTCAGTAAACTTGGTTGTGTCAGCAATGGGGTCCGGTAGGTGGGGGTAATGGCCCTGCCTGGCGCCTAAAAAG